ATGGTTGATAAATTTATATAAATAACTATATAAATAAATGAATGAATGAATAGGGAGAATAGGCAAATGTCCTGTGCAGAAGTCCAAGCAATTTATGTGGATTCTTGCCCTCACGGAGGGGGAGCATAACTTCCCACTGCTGAAGCATGAACTGTGCATAATTATTGACTTGCTGCCAAAAAATATGGTATGACTTAAAGGGGGAAAGAGTAGTTTTTACAGTGGAGAAACTTCCCAAACTCCAGGTCAGCCATGTGATCAAGGTTAAAATCAAAAGTAAGAAGTCACCTTTTTCTGTGTTACCCCGAGAACGGTCCATATAGCGTTGTTCTTGGTTCTCACGTAACTTAAAGGGACACTTTCACAATATCCAGAGGCTTGATGTCCTGCAAATGAAGGAGCAGGATGTCCTCAAATTCCTTGCAGCAGGAACCCACTTAAGTGGCACCAACCTTGACTTCCAAATGGAACAGTACATCTACAAAAGGGAAAGTGATGGCACTTACATCAAAAAGCTGGAGGAAGCTTCAGCTGGCAGCTCATGCCATTGATGCCATTGATAACCCTGCTGATGTCAGTGTGATATCATCCAGGAATACTGGCCAGCAAGCTGTGCTGAAGTTTGCTGCTACCACTGGAACCACTCCTATTGAGGGCCACTTCACTCCTGGAACATTTCCTAGCCAGATCCAGGCAGCCATCCTGGAGCCAAGACTTGTGGTGGTTACTGATCCCAGGGCTGACCACCAGCCTCTCAGAAGTCTTGTTAATCTGCCTACCATTGCTCTGTGTATCACAGACTCTCCTCTACACTGTGTGCACATTGCCACTCCTTGCAACAAGGGGACTCAATCAATGGGTCTGATGTGGTGGATGCGGACCCAGGAAGTCCTATGCATGTGTGGCACTGTCTCCCGTGAACACCCCTGGGAGGTCATGTCCGATCTCTACTTCTAAGAGAGATCCTCAAGAGATTGAGAAGGAAGAGCAGGCCACTGAGAAGGCTGTGACTAAGGAGGAACTTCAGGGCAAACGGACTGCTCCAGCCGCCAAGTTCACTGCTGTTCATTGAGGTTGCTGACTGGTCTGAAGGCACAAGTGTCCTCCATGCCTGTTCAGAAGTTGCCCCCTGAAGACTGGAGAGCTCAGCCTGCCACTGAAGACTGGTCTGCAGCCCCCGTTGCACAGGCCTCTGAGTGAGTAGGAACAGCCACTAATTCATCTTAAGCTGTTCTTCCACAAACTCTAAACTGAATGGAGATAAGGTTGATGGAAAATAAAGTTTATTTTTAAAAAAAGTAAGCAGCCATGCCCTGACTGGGGTGGCTCAGTTGGTTGGGCATCATCTTGCAAAGTGAAAGGCCGTGGGTTCAATCCCCAGCCAGGGCATACGCATAGATTGCTGGTTTGGTCCCCAGTCAGGGTACATATGAGAGGCATTGGATTGATGTCACTCTCACGTCAATATTTCTCCCTCTTTCTTCCTCCCTTCCCCTCTCTCTAAAAAAAAACAAAATAAAAGTGATGTCATGCTGGTGGCATGTGCCTGATATGACCTGATAAGAAAGGAACCTCACCTCTGAGCTTTCTCCCCCTAAACCCATAGCCCCAGCCTACTCATGAGGAAACCATTAGAAAAACCCCAACTGAGGGACATTCTACAAAATGCCTCACTCATACTCCTCAAATTTGTTTTATAACAAGGAAAAGTATAAGAAACTCTCATAGTCAAGGGGCACTAAGGAAACAAGACAACTACCTGTAATGCTGGATGGAATCCTACCACAGAAAAGGGACATTAGGTAAAAACTAAGGAACTCTGAATAAAGCATGGATTTGTTATAAAAATCTATCAGCATTGGTTCTATAATTGTGACAAATGTACCACACTAACCTAAGACGATAGGGAAACTGGGTGTAGGGGACATTGGAACGCTCTATGTTATCTCGACAATTTTTCTGTAAAATCTAAGGCTATTCTAAAATTAAGGGTTACTTAAAGCAAAAACTACAATTTTTATGATGGGTTTAACAAATATATAAAATGCAGTAAGTTTTCTGAGTGAACAAAATTCCTGAATTATAATAAAGTCACATAAAAATAAATTCATACATAGTTATTTTAAAAATTATTTTAGGCATCATATATTAGAGATCTTATGTCTGATTTTCCTAAATTTTATTAAAAAAATCAAATAACTTTTTGCTTCTTGCCTCTCCTTCTAATGCATAATACATTTATAATGGGAATCAGCCTGAATTCCTTCCTGGGTATAGAAGTGGTAGAACTAATATATATGAGAAATGTAATATTCTCAATGATATTTAGAAAACTGCTGAAGATGAAGCAGTTGCACGGTGATGCCACCACTTTCGCAGCACTCAAAAGGGTCTGTCAGCTTAATAGCCAAGTTCCAAGGCTGCTGGAGTGGGGGCGGGGAGACAATAACACTGCAGGAAGTGAAGCCCCATGGTAAAAGATTGTCGTTCTCTTTTATGAAAACATTTCATCTGCACCTGTAATTCATCTCAAGCCAGTTTTAAAAACACAAATAAGCTGGCAAAGTGTTTGTCTCTGCCTAGCTGCCAGCACCCTACTCACTGTGAGAGGCTAGAACCCCATTGCTGATCATTGAGGAAGAGAACAAGGGTGTCCTTCTGGAACCAGAGTCCCCTGCTCTGGGGCCTGTCTGGGCTCCTAGAGGCCGGTGCCCACCCTACTACAGTCTCTGCCCATCCACTGTCAAATAATAAATAAAATTGGACTTAGTAAGGGGAGACCTTTATTTGAAAAGATGAATGCAAGAGGGGGTGGGGACTACTGCAACAGAGAATGCTGTGACCAAGCTCTGCAAGTGTCTTAAGGGTTAGGCAACCAGATGTTTTCTTCCACATGGAGAAAACAAGGCTAGGAAGGATTGGGAAGTGGGAGGAAAGGATGGCATGATGAGACAGTACCCTGAAGCCAACCTATTCTCAGGAGGGGCTGTCTACTGGCTCAGGCTGAGGGTGACCCAAAGTTCAGGGGCTTGGAGGAAGGAGAAAATTTAACCAAAGTTTTGTTAACAAGCATTTTGCTCCAATTGATTATCAAGGACAAGCAGTTCAGCTAATCGTTGCTAAGGCAAAGATTGGGAATTTGAACTCTGTAATTGACCTTTTCATAGGTAAACAAGGGGGGACATCCATGACTTAACCTAAGTCACACAGAAGGGTGGTACTTTGCAGAGAGCTGTTTTCCGGAACACAAAAGGGTGAGGGGAATTTCTTTAACCCTCACTGTTTCCCAGGAGCACAGGGCTCAGGTCAAATTCAACACTGTCACCACTCAACTGGGGATGATCATTATAATAGTTACCTATGATTTTAATTTTTTTAAGTACTTTGAAAGTGTCAGGTGTGTCATAAATGCACCATAAATACGTTAATCTCATTGACCTGTGAAATCCTTGAGGGCAAGGGTTGAGTTTATTTTGTGTTTTCTTTGGTGCTAGTACAGTAGCTTGAATCCACTGATCTGTTCAATTGACATTGAACAAGCCTCAGTCTCCACATCTGTAAATAAAACAATAACCTCCACCTCACAGGTCGTTGAGAAAATTAAATAACATTGAGTCCAAGGGACCAGAACAATACCTGATACATCTTTGGTGACCAGCGACAAAGACTTTCCTTGACCTAACTCCAGTCAGGCTCTTCTGGTTAGTTTCAGCAAGAATCTTGCTGGGTCAGAACAAAAATCCCCTACCCTTGGTATATGATCAAATTCCTCATCCCTCAACCTTGATATCTTATCACACTGGCCCGCTTTTGGGAAGAATCCTGTGAAGTCGACTTAGGAGTATTCCCCTTGCCACTGTTTGCTCTTAATATTCCCATCCACTACCCCCGGACCCTGCTCCTTAGCGACAAATCTCCACTTGTATTCCAAGTTGTGTCCCATCACTCCTCCCCATCATAACCCCCCCTACCCCCTCACTACAGTAGACTCCTGAATCAAGTCTGCCTCGGTGGTCTTTTACAACTGCCGTGAATAATTTAACACCAGTACCTGAATCCCCTTCCCTTTTCTATCCAGGGTCCACACTGAGTATAAGCAGAACTTTCTACTGCCTCTGTTCAATCAATGCTGGCGGCTGTGGGAGTCACCCAAAACCAAACGCCCAGGGGCGCCCACGCTCTTAGTCAGACACGCAGTGTGGCAGGGGGCTCTGGCCTCCGCATTGAAACCCAGTCCTTCTCACTCCTATAGGCCGCGGACGCAGCATGCTGGGGTTCAGACTCAGCATCTGTGACTTTCCAAAAGTACACGCATCTGGCCACTTTATTTCACCCACCTTGGTCTACCCCTCTGCAATAACCTCAGTTATAAAGAATAGGTAAAAAATGATGGCTGTGAAGCTGCCTTGTACATGAAGCAGCCGTCGCAGAGAAAACGCCGGTAAGACCCACGTAGGAGAAACTGAAGAAACCCAACCGTACGCTGCCTCTGACCTCAGGCCTTTTAACCCAGGTGGGCCTGCGGCATCTGCCCCTCCCCCAGGTTCTCCGTCCGACAGGACGAGCTGTGAGAGATCAATACTTTTCGTGCAAGTCTCTGACAACTCGGAGAAGACAACTGTTGTGCTCGGACCAAAACGCGCGAGTCGTCACCCGCCCCTCGACGACTCTGCTTGGCGCAAACGCGAGGAAGGTAAACGAGAGGGCAGACTGGCTCCTTACACACAGGGGTAAAACTGCGCAAGCGTCGTGTTTAGAAACGAAGAGAGAAAGGACCCGCGCATGCGCCTTGGAAGGCTAGTCAAAGAGCCAGCGGCTGCGCTCCGAGGATGCCGAAAGCAGCACGCTAACTTTCCGGCGATGGCGTTGAGTAGAAGTAACGCCCTGCGCATGGGTAGTGATTTAATTTCAGAATTTTGTTTTGCGCATGCTTTAAGCCAGGTTGTGCGCCTGCGCAGTATTTGGTGTCGCGCGGGTGCAACTCTAATGCGTCTGCGCGGTCTTTTGTTTCTTCCGGGATAGCTCTGGCAGGTAGCTTAGTTACAGATCTACTGGAAGCGCTTGAGCATGAGGTTCAGAATGGCCTTCCAGAAATGAAGCTCCAGGGCAAGCGCCGGGAAGGGAAAAGGTGTGAGGCCTCGGAGTGGAGGGTAGGTGTGGGCAAGTGCAGCGCAGGGAGAGAGCAGGTGGGGCCAACGCGCTGAACGCCTGAAGGACAGAGCTTTCCAACTCGGTAGAGTTAACTCCCCGTCGGTATCAAGTTATGCAGTCGGTATCAGGATGCAAAAAATGGTAAGTCACCCTACTTATGGGTAACTGTCCAGGAGGTTTGGTGTGGCTTGGGGCCACACCAACGAAGTGTTACGGAGCGGAAAGAGGTCATCCACCCAGTGCTACTTGAGCCAAACACTGAACACCAGAATTGCAGTGGAGAAATACTGGTCATTTTATTGATCAGTGGTGCCATCCAGGGGAAGGGGAAGTTATTGTTCAAAAGCAGGAACTTGGAGTGTAGGTTACAGATTATATCGTGAAAAGTCAAAACACACCGTGGATTAGGGGTTCCGGTAGTGCTGGGTGCAGATTGATAGAGGTGAGGCGAGGATAATGAATCTTCAGGTATTGAGGATGGCTCTGAGGTTTTTTTCCGTGTCCTTGTGTTCAATCTCATGGCAGAGTGGCCAGGGTATCATTCCACCTTAGGGAACAGGATCTGAAACACAACTTAAGTCAAGATGTTACCTTTATCCTGACAGAGGTCCAGACCAGTGACCATTAGTCAGGTCCAGGCTAGTGTCTTTTGCTGCCTGGGCCGTGGGGGCGGGGGGGGGGGAGGCGGTTCCTGGTTAACTAGGGGAAAGGCTAGGTCTCTCAGGGGTATAGAGAGAGAGGGATATGATTTCTAGAGCTAGGATTTAAAACTAAATTTAATAAGTCATAAGGGCCTTCGGTATCAAAAGGTACCCTGTGCTGGTAAATTACACTTTCTGGAAAGTTTTACAGAGCTCTCTAGAAAGCTCTGGTTTTTTGCAGTTTCAGTGGGATACTGCCATATTAAAATGAAGAGATTACAAAACTAATTGGGCAGCCTGTTCTCAGAAGGCCAGGTAGAGGTGGTATATTGTGGATACAGAGTGGAAGGCAGTCTCATGACCAGCTGCTCCAGGAATGAGTGTTCCAGGTCAGCCTGAGGCTTCTGTGGGGCTCTCAGGGCTGTTTCATAAGGCCCACCAGACATCCGCTGGGAATCGGGGTAAGATTCTCCAAGAAGCCATTTCGCCCAACCAGTGTACAGACTACTCTGGGAAGTTCCTTAAATTTTTAAAGATAATTTAAGAGAATTCTGGGATGACTGGTGGTTTTTTAGAAGGCTTCATCTTATAACCAACACGAACCCATTTGGGCTATTTACTAAACAACTAACCAAGGGCTGGCTTACATTGTGCACTCTGGATGTTTTAATGTGACCAATAAGCTTTTTATGAAGTTCACAGTGGGCTGATTCATAAAGCCAAGACAAAAGGCACCCAGAGTTTAGCTCAGACAACTTCATCTGACCCCCTGTCCCAGATTATAATTTCATAAACCCACAAACAGACCTTTATGTGAGAAGGCAAGACACAGGCCACTGAGGAAAGCTATTTTGTATAACTTGTACCTGAACTTCCCCTGAAAGCTATCATGGGGCAGTAAATGTGGCACTCTTGAAGGCTATAATCAGGTTGACCATAGGTCTCAATTTGCCTGGAATAACCCCAGTTTATGACTTGTCCAGTCATTAAATATATATAATCGTAATTTTGAACAGCAGAACCTGTTCACATGTTAATACTTATACCTACAGACTGGACTGCCATCCATATATAATGCCCAGGCTAATGTCACCAAAGGTACCAACCGTGATGTTTTTCCCTTCTGAATTACTTTTATGTATTTCTAGGTTTCTTCCTGAGAAGTTAAGATCTCATTTTTCTTAATAGCCTTAACTGAGTGCCTACTGTGAGCCAGACTGCTTATAGGCTCCAGGGATATGTGACGTGTTTTCACCCTGGAAGAGCTAACAGGCTTGCATTGGAGAGAGAGACATGTCCAGTAAGGAGGTATTTGTGATATGTTGTGACAGCTGCTCTAAAAGGAGCTCAAGGGCTTTTGGAACACAAATCACTATCAGAGAGTCTTGGCAGACTTCACATAGGGGATCACTGAAGGTGAGCCTTAAGGGTGGGATAGGTGTTTGCCACAGAGGAGGGATGTTGGAAGTATTCCAGCCAAGGACCGACCATACATGTTGCTCCCTAAACAAATGTTTATCTTGTGCCCACTGCATGCCTAGTGTTATGCTAGGCCCTGAAAATAGTGGTGACCCCAGACAGATGGGGCCCTGCCCTCACAGAGTTATGCCTGGCAGAGAAAACCATTATTGGAGAATCATCACAGGTGAGATGTGTTTTACAAAGGACAAGTATAGGAAGCTGTGGGCACCCATTGGGACTGAGTCTGTACATAATCTCCCTTCCTATGTATATTTTTTTAATTTCAGTGGTTCACATTTTGGCCCCTGGCTGTCATCACAGGTCTAGCTTTTTGTACCCCAGTTTTATTTTATAAAAATAAAATTGTATAGATTCAATTGTCCATCTTGGTGTTTTGCTATAACTTTTATTTCTTCCTCCACCAGCACTCAGACTGAGCTGGCAAGTGTACCTGATGGCTGAAGGCGGCAACCAAGACACCCCGCCGGGAACGGGGGCTCTCCAGGAGGCTCTCAGGGCACTGCTGCCCTGCACTAAAGAAGAACTGAAGTTGGACGTCAGTGAGAATGTGGATAGGAGTGTGCTGATGCTGCTGCAGCGAGCCACCAACCTCTTCTATGGGGGCAAAAAGAGCGAGTGTCTGCAGATGAGCGAGGCACTCCTTGACTACTCCTGGGAGAAACTCAATTCCGGGGTGTGGCAGGATGTAGACAAAGACTGGCGTCGGGTTTATTCCTTCAGCTGCCTTCTAAAAGCCATGTGTCTTTGTGAAACTCCTGGGGACCCTGCCACCTTGGCTGCAGCCCTGAAAGTCTGTGACATGGGCCTGCTGATGGGGGCAGCTATCTTTGGGGACGTCCTCAGTAAAGTTGCTGCCATCCTCCAAGCGCACCTGCTGTCTGGAAAAAGGCCTGCCCAAGTCCCAACCCAGGAGCAGCCCAGCATAAAGGTATCTTGGTGGGATTGTCGGTTACCACACCTAACATAATCCAGCAGCCCTGTTTTTCTAGAAGTACAAGTCATCTCTCTCCTAAAATGAGGGCTCAGAATGCTGACCTCTCTCGCAGAAGTGCAGTAGTCCCTGCGTGCCCACTCTGTTCTCTTGCCTGTAAAGAGGGGGCTTGCTCAGCAGCTGTACTGAGTACCAGCAGTGGCCCAAATGTGCCAGCTGCTAGGCAGTGGTACAGAAGGGCCCAGACCCTGTCCTTTGCTTACAGTTTCATATGGCTGTAAAAGGAGACAGCTTCACAGAAGGTGGTCAGGGAAGGCCTCCTCAATAAGGGACATGTGAACATGAAAGCCTCCCATAGATAGAGGGTTGTGACAGTGAAGGGAACAGAGAGGTATGCAACCTAGCACATCGCCTACAGGTAAGGATGTTAGCTGCCAGTGCTGCAAATGTCGAGAACTGGTTTGGGGTCAAGCATTGGGGGCAGAGAGTGCTGACACATGCATGTCAGGTGGTCAGCACTTTACATGAGAGCTTATCTCCCATTAGTTTAATGGACAAGGAAACTGAGGCTCAGACATAATAACGTACTTGGGTCAGTCAGTTGGGAGTGGTTAAGTAAATTATGGTGCAACCACTCCTGATATATTGCAAGGACTGGTGGTAACAGGGAAACTACTTCAGTTAAATTATTGGATGGAAGAGGTAGAGTTGCTTATTCATCATGAGTTTTACTATCCATGGGTCAGGGATGTGTCTGTGACAAGGTGGGAAAGGAACTTGGGAATGAGATAGAATGCTGCATGTTAGATAGTGGAGTGTGGGGTAGTAAGTTTTCCTCAACTGCAGAATTTCTGTGAAAGCAACACATGACTTTTATAGTTGAACAAACATTTGAACTGACCTGGTAAAGAAAAAAATATCTTGCTCTAATGAAAAGTAAACAGTGTAGCAACAGTAATAATGATAATAAATGTTAACTATTTTTGTAATTAAAGACACCTAAGCTCTCTTACCAATCATGAAAATTCCTAGGAGAACGTCTCAAATACTGTCTTTCCTTTGTGGTTGCCATTTTGTTTTGTTTTGTTTTGATTTTAAACAGAAAGCCAGGAATGGCCACGTTTTGATTCCAGATATGCAGTCAGGAAAAGCAGTGCCCCGGCTTCGCTGTCCGTCCCTCCAGTATTTCAGGAAGCATTATTTGGTTCCACAGAGGCCTGTGATCTTAGAAGGCGTGGCCGACCATTGGCCATGCATGAAGAAGTGGAGGTGGGTGGCTGCTGAAAATCAGGTTCTCCCTCCCATTTTAGCCTCCCCAAAGACTCCCTGCACTCCTCCCGCACCACCCCCAAATAAACACAGCCCCTGGACACGTCACTACCAGTCCCTGGGGTGGGTGGCCAAGGAACAAGAACTGGCAGCCAGTACTCTGGGTCTACACCAGATCTAAGACTCTTACATCCTCCCACGTGTTTGCTCTAAGCCATTTTTAATGAGGGCTTCAGGGGCAGGCCAATATTAAGTCTATTGTACTGTTTTATAGGATCTTGAGAATTCTGTGCACTTTCTCAGGGGCCCTGAGGCTTCAGAGTAGGAAAAAAGAAAACAGATGGCCACGTCCCCTTCTCTAGGGGGCCTGTGGGCTCCTGTGTTTGCTTTCTTCTCACACCTGCTTCCAGTCCCACTTCAGACCTGGGAGACAGATCAGATCAGGCAGCTGGAGAGTGGCCATAATGTAGTAGCTGTGCATAATTTTGGAAAGAAGGAGTGGTCTCTAAGCAAGGTTGATTGAGTCACCTGTCTTATGGTGGTAGCCTTGTCGGGGAGTGGCTTCCACGGAGACTCTGAGGAGGAACTCTAACTGCAGGAGCCATTGTCCCAGTAAATACGCAGTGTGTGTGTTACTGCATACCAAGCATGTTACATGACTTACAATATACCAGGTGCCAAGGATAAGCACTTGCCACGTTTTATCTCTCTATCCTCCCTGGTTCCAGTGAGTCATCAACACTATTTTGCAGTGGTGAACAAGTGCTCAGAGAAATTAAATAAGTTACTGAAGATCCCCACGTGTATGACAGGCAGGGTCTGGATTCAGTGCCAGGGCACCATAGTTGAGAACCCATGCACTTCACTGCCCCCTGTATTGTCGGCCATTTCCTCAGCTTAGTGACAAGATCAGCAAAGAGGAAAGGCTCTCGGCAAGTAGGGGAATAGAGCCTCCAGCCAGAACTTTGGCAAATGAGATTTATTGGGTCTATCTGCAAAGCCACCCAGTGCCAGGTGGGCTAGGAACCTCACCTCTCCGCCTAAGTTGCCTAGTCAGTGAGGTGAGTGATAACGATAGTCTCCACTTCATGAGACTTAGTGGTGATGGAAGGAAACCACCTAAAGCATGGTTAGCAGAGTGTCCAGCAAACACTAGCAATAATGTTGAAATGATGATACATATTTTTCTAATAGTTTGGAATATATCCAAGAAATTGCTGGCTGCCGAACAGTCCCGGTGGAAGTTGGCTCTAGGTACACAGATGAGGAGTGGTCCCAGAGACTCATGACGGTCAGTGAGTTCATCAGCAGATACATCCTGAATGAGGTATGTCATTTTGATTCCTTTCTCCTAATACGATCAATGGGGAGAACGCTACTTTTGGGCAAATGCGTCGCACCAAGGCTTTGGAGTAGTCAGTCTTTAAGAGTCTCGGTCAGTAGGCTGGCCAGAGTCAGGAAGGCAGGCTGCTGGGTAGACAGGTGGGCGGACGTGGCATGAGGGACTCATTTCAAAAACTTTTTTGTTATTGTACATTCCAGGGGTTTTGAGTATATTTTAAGAGTGTGCAACTATCACCCCTATGTAATTCCAGAATATTTTCATCACCCCAAAAGAAGCCTCAAACTAAGTAATAGTCACACCTCACTCCCTTCCCCAGGCAACTGCTGAGCTGCTGCTTGTCTATGGATTTGTCAATTCTTCACATTTGATATAAATGGAATCACGTAATATGTGGTCTTTTGTGCCTGGCTTCTGACACTGAGCATCATGTTTTCAAGGTTCATCAATGTCGTGGCGTTTATCAGTACTGTACATTATTCCTTTTATGGCTGAATAATATTCCATTGTATGGAGAGACCACATTTTGTTTATCCTTTGATCTGTTGCTGGCCATTTGAGTTGTGTGCCCTTTTGGCTGGTATGAAAAATGCTACTGTGAACATTCATGTACAATTTTTTGTGTGGACATAGATTTTCGTTTCTTTTAGGTATATACTAAGTGAAATTGCTGGTAACTTTATGTGGTACTTTTTGAGGGACTGCCAAACTGTTCTCCAAAGCAGCTGCACCATTTTGTCATTTCAGATTCTCAACAATAAGGGCTGGGGGTGGTTTCCTCTCCTGACATTGGGTGGCAGAGAATGTAGATTGTCTGCAGTGCCTGAACCATCCCTACTGGCTGGGAACCAAGGGAGCCTGTAAGTGGCGCACAGACCCTTCAGGGGAGGGTTGTCCATGCAGCATCCGTGGTGGGCAAGGTCCTTCATGAGGTGTGGGAAGTTAACATCAGCGGTTTGCAGCTCTTCCACACACTCCCAACAGCCTGCAGCCTAGGCCCCAACTCTGTAAAGCTTTGACCAGATTTGGTCATGGATCTGCTGCAATAAATGGGTCCAGGACCGTGACCACGGAGGCCAACAGTTTCTTCTGTTGGCCTTCTCAACATTGTGCCTTAACTCCTGAGGGACCACCCCATTACCCTTCCTGACCCCATCTCTTGTACTCTTAAAAGTTCCAGCCGCTCCACAGGCACTCGGTGTAGTTCTCTGGGCTGTGTGTTCCCCCATAAGTGCTCACAGACATCCTTCCATTTCTGCTTCTCCTGCATCCCTTCCTACCCCCACCTCTGCTCAGTTCACTATCACCTGGGGTCTGGAAATAGGAGCCATAGTCTAGGGTGCCCCATGTTGCCATGTCCCTTCTACTTGTACACATAAAGCCAGCTAGGAGACCCATGCTGTCTCACTCTGCTGGGATGGGAAGAAGCCTGAGGCACTTTGCAGAGCAGGCAGTATGGGCACTTTGGAGGCAGGCCAAATAGCACTGAGTCCTGCAGTGGCCCTTGCTTGCTCTGTGTCCTTGGCTGGTTACTGAACCTCTCTGGTCTTCAGTGCCCTAACTTTTCATTAGTTAGGGTTGGTTGGGGTTAGTTACTCAGAGGTTTCCGATGCTTCATAGGGTCATTATGAGAATAACAACATGAAGCTAAGCACAGCATGCACAGCACTCAATGTCTTCTGTGCCAGAATGTCTGGGAGGGCAGAGGTCACGTCAGATCTGGCTCTGCTTGGTGCTTAGCATAGGCTCCGGCGTTTTGTAAACTCTTAATGTTTGTTGGAAGGAAGAGGGAATGAAGGAGAGAGATAGAAAGATAGAGAGATTTTCAAGGCATCTTAGAGAAGCCTTCTTTACTTCAACACTGTTGTCAGCCTCAGAGTGGTTAGACCCACGCCAGCCTCACCTGGGGAGAGCCGGGAGAGCGGGGTCTGGCATCTCTCCTGCTCTGTCCCACCAGTCCTTGCAGAGACCCCCAGGCACCTTCAGACAAGCCCTCAGCACCATGGAGCCCAGCTTGTAAAGCACTGACCATTTTACCCATCAGAGCGGCAGCAGTTTCACCAAATGATAATCTCCAAAGATTAATTACCAGAGAGTATAAATCATTTAACTTTGGGGGAAGTAACCTGGAAGAAGCTATGAAAATTTAAAATGCACGTACTCCTTGACTCAGATGTTCTGCTTCTGGGCACATGTAAATACAGGGACCAGAATATTAGACTGTTTATTGAAACACTGGCAGGACAACCCAACTGCCCACCAGTAGGGGGAGAGGTGAATTAATAATGATGCATCTGTCTATAAAATGTGCGCCCATCAGAAGAATGACACTTGACACGTGTATCGACTTGAAAAGATGTTCATGCTATATCATTAAATGAGAAAAGCAGATTTCAAAGTCATATATAGTATGATTCCATTTTTATTTTTAAAAAATCATCATTGTGTACAGCCCCTTCATTTTTCTCAAGAGGATGTTAAATCGTTTATTGATGATAATGGATGATAAACAAGCTTTATTCCCATCTATAATTTTATCTGGTACCATATAATTCAATTTAGATATATTGTATAGGATGTACCAACAAGCATTAATAACCAGACAAGCCCCACGATCCTGCTTGGGTGACCCTTTTAACGATGAACTCCAGATCACAACACAGTAACTGTCAATTAAACTACATCAACATTTATGAAAACAATAGCCTCTAGGCCCAAGCAGACTAAACAGATTTCAAGTGGAGCCTAGCATCATCCTGAAGGAATTCTAACATCGCACTGTTGGGATAATTTACCAAGGTGGCTTCAGAGTAGTCTAACTTTACATGGCACATTTTTAAAAAGATACATTTTTTTGAGTCATGATAAGACTATTACATTTAGCAATCAACAGCATAAGTACAAAGAAAAAAAAAAACCTACATTAAAACCCTTTGTTGGAATTCTTTACATATTCCACGGCACAGAAACTAAAATAACCTGTTTTACAGTTAGTCATAAATACAGTCCTTGAGTTTTTGCCCATTCACATGAGTATTGTCTAAAATATGTCTTCTTTGTAGCAGCTAGGCCCTGCCACCATGGTGCTCGGCTGAGTTCACAAATCTCTTGTAACCTGTAGCTTGCCTGTCACTTCTCTGGCTCTCCTCTCCTGCTAAGCTTTGTTTCCTGGCAATAGTTAAAACCCATGCCACTGCCATAGCTGCTGCTGCTGCTGCAACCTCAACAGCCACCAGGGTGTCATGGTTTAACAAAGTATTGGCTTCCACCACAGGGGCCAGAGCTTCTGCCTCCAAAGTTTCCTCCTTTCATGGATCCACAATTGGAAGATTTATTGTTGTAATTGCCAAAATCACTGTAGCTTCTGCCACCTCCAGAATTGCTCCCATCATTACCAAATCCATGGTGGCCGCCGCCGCCGCTGTACCCACCACCATTACAGCTGCCATCTTGACCACTGAAGTTTCTTCCATGACCAAAGTTATTATTTCCACCAAGCCACCTTTGCAACTACCTCCAAAGTTTCCAGAACCACTTCAGGCTTTTTGGCTTGTTGAAACTCTAGCTATCTCTCACTTAGATGGGGGTTTTCCTTATTTCACAGGTGTGGCTGTTTACCGTACAGTGTTCCTGAGTGACTCTTGTCTATGGAGTCATGGTCATCAAGGGTTACAAATGCAAAGCCTCCTTTTTTGCCACTGCCTCAGTCAGTCATGATTTCAATCACTTCACTTTTCCAATACTGTTCAAAATAATCTCTTAGGAGATGTTCTTCAGTGTCTTTTTTAATACCACCGACAAGTCTTTCACAGTGAAGTGGGCACCAGGTCTTTGAGACTTTTCTCGAGGCAGCCCTCTTTGGTTCCACATCTCTTCCACCCACCCCGTGTGGCCTCGCATTCCTGGCTGCATCCACCTCCTCCACAGTGGCACACGTGACGACCCAAAACCCCTGGGGCTCTTGGTGTTTGGATCTCATCACCACGCAGCCTGTGAGCATCTCCATTGCTCAGAATGGCTCCTCAGACTCTCCATCAGATGTTTCAAAGCTCAAAGCTCCAATGAAGAGCTCCTGCAGCTGTTCCAGCTCTTTGGGAGACTCTGACTTAGGCATAACAACTGCAGGAGGGGAGATTTTTTTTAATTGATTTTTAGAGAAATAGAAATATTGATTTGTTGTTCCACTTTTTGACACATTCATTGGTTGCTTTTTATATGTACCCCGTGAGATGTAACCCACAACCTTGGCATATTGGGACGATGCTCTAACCTACTGAGCTACTGGCCAGGACAGGAGGGGAGACTTCAGTGATGCTTACTCAGCATCCACTGGCAGAAAGGAGTGATCTAACGAACATACCTGCCCTTTCAGCCCTGGGTCACAGGGTGACAAACTCCTGGCCACCTCTATGGCAGAGGCAGCACCAGATCCTGAGTCTCCCACGTCAGCCAGTCCTGCTCAGGAGGGAGTTGACCACATTAGCTGCTGGGTGGGGGAGGAGGGCCTTCCAGGTGGCTGCCCAGGGCTGGGGCAGGAGCATGTGGGTGCTGAGAGCTAAACAACAGTAGCAGCTGAAGGGCGTCCATCCCCACTAACAGGCTTTCTGTGTCTGTTTTTTCTCCCATGGATTAGCCGAGGGACGTCGGGTACCTGGCCCAGCACCAGCTCTTTGACCAGGTAAGTCTGAGACCACACGCCTCTGGCCTTCACTTTCTTGGCTCCCCTCCTCCCTTCCTGGCCTCGGACCCCAAAGGGCAGCAAAGGGTGTAGCAACCTTGTTTGCCACCCACTGGCGCTGCTCCCTGCATTGAGCAGGGCGGCGCTCGATGCATCGCCTGGTTCCCTCCTCACCAGCCGCCAGCAGGCGAGGCCACCAGGCCTGAGAGGCTGGGCATGCTGAGCCCTGGGCCCCAGGACTAGGGGTGGAGGGTAGGTTCACAAGCACCAGGGTGACCTCTGGGGTGTGAGTCTGAAGTCCAGCTGTGGTCAGAACTGGGGAAGGGGTCCCAGGGAGCCAGGCAAGGGTGGCAGACACTGACCTGGCCCAGAAAGAGCAAGTGACTGCCTTCCTTGCAACGGAGCTCTGGGTGGATCTGGCACCGCCCTTACCACATCTCAAATGTCTCCTAGCAGGGCCATCGCCCCACCTCTGGGCCTGCATGCTGCCGGCAGGAGCCAGGTTCAGTCCTCTGGGTACCCAGCCCTGGTGGGCCAGATTAAAGGTCCTTGGGACACACTTGTTGAAGAATTGAGAGAGGAGGGGGCTTGGGCAAGAGGACAGTCCCCGTGAGTGCCAGCTCAACACCAAGAGCCCCAGAGGGCAGAGGGAGATAGGCCCATGTGCTGGGGCGTGTTGACCAGCCTGAGAGGGTTTTTCCAGAATCGCAGCAAGGAGAACACAAAGAAGGGGGCTGGGCCAAGCTGGGGAAGACCTTGAATGCCAGGCCAAGAAGTCAGATTTATCTGGAAGACAGAGGAGCCCTGCAATGTTTTCAGCAGGAGTGTTCCCAGTAAGAGGTAGTATTTCCGAAAGAATCCAGCAGGACAGACAGGGAGGGTACTTGAGAGGGACAGTGGCTGGGGGCAAGCAGAGACAGAGCGCAAGTTGCCTGAGTGCCGCTCTCGCTCTTTCTCTGTCACAAATCAGCCCCTATGAACAGACACCAGAGTGTGGCCCGGACAGCACTGGCATGACTGGGAGCTTTCAGCAATGGAGGCACCACCCCAGGGCCTGGTGACTGGGCTCGAGCTGACCGGGGCTCCATAGCCACCAAACACGGGGCGCACGAAGCGGTCATGGAAACTCGGGGACTGCCTGGCTGTGGGAAACGAGGGTGCAGGACTATGTAAGAATACTCTTCCGTGTGCTGAGAACAGGAGAAATGCCACAAAAGATCAACTGTAATTGTCTATGGGCAGTGAGTGGTTTTTCCTTCTCATTTCTGCAGTTTCCAAATCATCTGTGACTATGTACATTCATCATGAGATTAAAAAAAATAGACTTTATTTTTCAGTGCAAACAAAGCAAGAGGACAAAGCGTGACAGGAACCAGATGGCGCTCCAAGTTTTCAAAGCTGTCTAGTTAGGGCACTGGAGCAGTCAGAGGAAGCCTCGTCCTAGGGAAATAATTGAGTGGTTTGGCTTTCTATCCAGTTCCATTCCTCATCCCTCACTCACGTCCTCACGCAGTACTTGGGGTGTGGGGGGGGTAGCTGAACCAGGACCATGAGGCATGGTAGGGATGGGCTTCTTTGTAGGCCCCTATGCACCGAGCACTGGGCTCCACCCTGGGGTACAGGGCTAAAGAAATCAGAGTCACTCCCTGACCCAGTGGAGATAAAAACCAACACATCAGATGGTGACGAGTGCCCCAAGGAAGATAAGAGGCGGCCTTACAGAAGGCGGCTGGGCAGGAGAAAAGGCTCTTTGGATTGGGCAGTCAGGGAAGGGGTCTCAAGAAGAGAACATTTGAGCAGTGACCCAGAAGAAGAGCAGTGGCTAGCCATGTGTGGAGGTAAGAGAAGGGGCGAACCAGCTAAGAGGTCAACAGGAGTGAACTTTCACCTTCAGGAGGCACAAAAAAGTTCCGCATTGCTGGAGCTCGGTACATGAAGGGACAGGGAGTAGCAGGTGGAGTCTGAGAAGTAGGGGTGTGCTGAGTGAGGAAGGCTGGTTTTCTGAATGTGAGTGGACACTGGAGGGTGGTGTTTCCAGCATCTCTGGCCACTTTCTGGAGGTTAATTTAATGTGGGCAGGTGTGGTGACAGGGAGACCATTGGGAGGCTGTTGAAATGGTCCAGGGACAGCTGATGCCTTGGAGAGGCTGTACTGGATGCTGGTGGGTAGTCAGAGGTCAAGGGAAAGGGAGCAAAGAAGAGGCCTAGATTTGGGAGTCAACCAACTCGTTAGATGAAGCTGAGGAGTCCAGGAAAGGCTGCCGGTGTGGTCTGGGCCAGGCCAGAGACACTCAGGGTGGGGCTCAGCAGGAATGCTCAGAGAGGGCAGCTCTTGGCAGGAGGCGAGGCCAGGCGGGGTCAGTTGGGGTCAGGTCCATGGCCAAGCATGAGCTGGGCCCATCCGCCAGCTCTGCCATGTCTGCTGCTGAGGCTAGGGTTGCCCTTGCTGCCTGTCCTGACCAGGGTTGTGGGGAATAGTAGGTAATCCTAGGTTCAGATGTGGCTCTGCCAGCCTCTAGGAAGGCTGGACAGATACGGCTGGGTGGACTGTGGTGTCTGTCTTTCTTTCCCAGGCCTCCCATATTAGGACTTACAGGTCCTGCCTCCTAAACTCGCTTGCTAAGAAGAAAAGGAGGATCCTAATTGAGCAACCCCTACTGTGTGATTCCAAGAGATCAGCCTCTCCCCTGACCTCAGCTGCACTGGGCACAGCCTCCCAGGGGCCTTTTGAAGCCACAGATAAACTGGCTCCCTCTCCTGGAACACCCGTCTTCCACCTGACTAGAATAAGAGGAAGCCGCTTTAGAAGGCAAAGTGTGTGATTATTTTGAAGATGTTTTGGCTGTTGCAGGGCCACTGGAGTCTTTATCTAGGGTCCCCAGAGGTGTTTTCACCTCTGCTGTTCAGAGCGCCTTAGGGGAAAGTCTGAGCAGCCAGGCATTGGGGCGTCATGGTGCGAGGGGTAAAGGGGTGGCAGGCAGGCGTCTGTACTTGTTTGTTTCTTGGGCCTTCCCTGCTCTCTTGAAGCTCAGGTGAGCTTCAACTGAAAACCTGTTGCCCAAAAATTTCTTACTGACTTTCCTCTCAGAGACCATATATTTTAGAATATTTTGGCTACTACACTAGTCCTGCCTTCAATTATCAGTCACGTTGTGGAGCCTTTCTTCTCTTGGGGTCTCTGAATCTTTGGCCAGTGCTCTAATTACATCAACCAGTCACCTCTCAGAACTCCTGATGATGTCTTCAGGAACCAGCCAGCTTCTCAACACTCCACATGGCCAGGTGTGGTGTAATATCCTGGTAGGAGGTTCCCAGAGGCCTTTTGAAATCTTGAGAACCCAGGGACCTTCTAGTTTAAGCAGTGGACACAGCAGCATTTCTGTATTTCTAAATAGGCTGTTTGATACAGACCTAAAGTGCAGAACAGCAGCATCTGGGTCAAGGCTGCATGCAGGAGAAAATTCCAACTGTTCTGTTCTTTTTTTTTATAATTGATTAGAGAGAGGCATCCATTTGTTGTTCCACTTACTTACTTATTCACTGGTTGATTCTTGTATGTGCCCTGACCAGGGATCAAACCTGCACCCTTGGCATATTGGGAAGACGCTCTAACCAGCTGAGCTACCTGGCCATGGCTTGATCAGTACTTTCTTACCTAGCAACCTTAACTCGCAGTAGCTGCTGCTGAAGGAATGGCCAATCTTGCAGATATCCCTTCAGACCAGCAGGTGCTTACTCTGAAAATACCTGAGTAGAATAGCAGAGGCAGTTGCCCGCTACAACCTTGTTTTCAGACCTCTCAAGCTTGAAAAATGCCGCTGGGTTCAGAGATTGTCCCAAGAGGGGCTTGTGAGGAATCCAGACACCCTAAGGGCGGGGGCTGCAGGCTGGCTCTGGTCGGTTCAGCACTGAGCTGCCTTCTGAAGGTCAGGTCAGGAAATGGGTTTATTCTGGGTGAGTTGTGTCTTCACTGTGAGCCGCTTTCCGAATGAGGCCAAGACCGCGACCGCAGCCCTGCCTGGCCCTAAACCCCCACCGTTGCCTGCACAAGCTCACTTCCATCTGGGTCAGAGAAATGTGGATGCTTCTGAAGACTTGTGCGCATTCCCACCTTGCAGCTGAATAGTTTCACCACTGGACACACCAGCAGCCCTGCAGGAGGGCGCCCTTCCACCGCATCCTCACCACCCCGGGTGTTGCCACTGTTTCAGCTTTTGCTGATTTGAATAGCAGGAAATTATGACATTTCATTTGCATTTTTTTGCTAATGGGACTGAACCCTGACCTTATATGTAATTCATTTTTATGTATTATCTTGTTTTTGTCCTATGTATTGGGATCCTTATTATTTTGTATGAACTGTGTACATTAATCCTTATTTATCAGAGTTAGTTCAAGTAGGTTTCCTAGTCTGTTGGTCTTTATAATTAATTTACTTAACATGTGCCAGTTGTCATTGCTTTACCATTAGTAAATTTGGAAAACCTTCCCCTTCAGAGATTTGATAGTCAATCCCATTTTTTGTTTCTTTGTTTGTTCCTTAACGTGATTTTTTAAAATAATTAACTCTTCAGAAAATTACCAACTGGTTTTTCTTTTTGTTTGTTTTGTTTGTTTTTTTATTAATCTTGAAGAGAAACATCGATTTGTTGTTCCGCTTATTTATGCATTCATTGGTTGCTTCTTGTATGTGCCCTCACCAGGGATCAAATCCGCAACCTTGGTGTTTTGGGATGATCCTCTAACCCACAGAGCTACTTGGCCAGGGCTCAACAGGTTTATCTTGAAGTACAAATACAAAGCACTTGTATCAGTTTTATTAAAAAGGAAACAGCCCTGGCTGGTGTGGCTCAGTGGATTGAGTGCAGGCCAGCGAGCCAGAGAGTTGCCAGTTCGATTCCCAGTCAGGGCACATGCCTGGGCTGCAGGCCAGGTCCCCAGTTGGGGGCACACAAGAGGCAGCCACACATTGATGTTTCTCTCCCTCCGTTTCTCCCTACTTTCCCTTCTCTCTAAAAATAAATAAGTAAAATCTTTTTTAAAAAAAGGAAACAAACATGACGTGCATATGACAAGAAAACAAATCTGAAAATAACTTTTCTCTAGTAATTATATTTTTTTAATTAATTTTTTAATTCCTATTCAGCAAAATGTGGATACAGTGATGTTATTACACAAAAGGACAATGCATATTTGGCCCTTCTGTCAGATAGTCATTTGACTTCTGGGCTGGTGGGTCCCACAGGCCTGGTCTCAACCTTCCCCATCTCCTCTGACACCCACAGATCCCGGAACTGAAGCAGGACATTGGCATCCCTGATTACTGCTGCCTGGGCGATGGGGAGGAAGAAGAGATCACCATCAATGCCTGGTTTGGGCCCCCAGGCACCGTCTCCCCTCTTCATCATGACCCCCAACAAAACTTCCTGGTCCAGGTGGGAGTCATTGCAGAGCATCTGCCTTCTCCCCGTCCTGGCCCAGCCCCATACCCGCCGCATCATCCACCTTTACACACCAGAGAGGTGAACCACTGACAGGGCCATGGACACAAATGAAAGCAGAAATGCTACTACTGGACCTGGGGGGACGGGGGAGCGGCATGTGGAGGAGCTGTTTCCAGATGTGCTTCCTGGACCACCCAGCTCACCTGCTGGGGCCCCGGACCTCACCCCCACAGGGCAGGGCCAGCACCGCCTCCCACCTTGGGACAGGAGGCAGCTGAGTGCCCTCATGGCTGCCTCTGCCCTCTCTCCCCCTCCATCAGAACCAGGCCCGCTTCTCCCTGCCAAAATCCTTTCTCCAAATGAAGAATAGCTCCTTGGCCCCTCAGTGGTTTTCCTGAGACCCCAAAGAGGTGCAGGGGGAGCAGCACCTTGTAAAGCCACCTTAGTGTTTTCCTAAGCAAAGGGTTGAACAAATGAGCAGGTGCTGCCAGCCAGGTGGACCACTCCCAGAGCAGAGGCAGGCTGCGTGGCGTGGACCCCAGCTTTGTCACCTGTCAGCTGTGTAAGCTTGGGCAGCTTGCTTCCCCTCGCTGGGCCCCAGTGTCTTCATCTGTAAGATGGGATGACAAACCGTTTCCTTGTGAGGATTACAGTTGATACACATAAAGCACTAAACAGCAGATGTCACAGTCAAGTGCTTAATTGTTGGCTACAGTGACAAACAGTGATTTGTAATGTATCTAGAGGGAAAACACCCTGGGATTCTAAGCATGTTTGTGGCGGGATCGGGGCTGGCCAGACACAGGGAACAGCATGTGGAGAGGCTCAGAGAGGCAAGGGAGGATGTGGGTTCAGGGACCTGCAGTCAGTGTAGGGGCAGCAGCGGAGGTGAGGTCACCAGCCGACTAGTTGACAGAGCCACTCTCTTCCCAGGTGCTCGGGAGGAAATATATCCAGCTGTATTCCCCACAAGAGTCAGAAGCTTTATATCCTCATGAAACTCACCTTCTTCATAACACAAGCCAGGTGGGACCCAGTGTGGCATTGCAGCTTGTCCCCCATCCCACCCCATTCCTGGAGACCAGGCAGATGACTTCTCTTGCTTTTTTTCAGGTTGATGTGGAGAATCCTGACTTGGAGAAGTTCCCCAAGTTTGCTGAGGCCCCATTCCTGTCCTGCATCCTGTCTCCTGGAGAAATCCTGTTCATCCCGGTTAAATATTGGCATTATGTGCGAGCCCTAGACTTGAGCTTCTCAGTCAGCTTCTGGTGGTCATAGCCAGGACAAGAGGAGAGGCCTGCTCTGTGCCCAGCTGGCACCGGGTCCTGGAATCTAGAGACCAGTTGACCGAGCCTGTGTCTTGAAGAAGCCTTCACCGGGGGCCACGCTCTGGCACTGGGTTGACACAGCAGAGTACCCAGGCCAGCTGTGTGCAACAGAGGCAGTCGGGACAGCCCAGAAGGACATTCCACGCCACACTGAGTTGTGGGCATCATAAGGCCTGAAGAGTGTGGGAAACAGGCAGGCAGTACGTGCTCTGAGGTTGGGTGCCTGGGTTTAAAACCAACTCCACTGCTTAACTGCCGTGTGATTTTGGGCAAGTGTGTCCATCTAAAAAAGGGCAGCACTGGGCCTCCTCACAGAGGGCCTGAAAGGTGGAGCATGTGCAGAGCGCCTGCTGCTCCCCAGCCCTGTGACTGGAGAGAGACAGTCATATCCCAACAGCTGACACCAGAAAAGTCCCAGGCTTCTACTTGCTGGGAGATTCACTGATTAGTGACATTTGTGCAATATTGCCTGGATTTGACAGCATTCATCACACCACGCGCATAAGGTAAACAGTAATATGTTCTGACCGATGATAAATTTTAGAAGCTTCTAATAAACCTTTAAAAAGGTACAATCTTAATAGCAAAAATATGCAGTTAAATTATAGCACCATATTTAAAACTTTTGGACTCAGTGCTGAGGGGGTAAGACATCTTGCTGGCAGTTAGCTGCACAGTCTCAGCAGAAATCATGCATATGTTGGGTCAGTGATCCCACTAACAGAAGTCCACCGTAAGGAAGTAGCAGAATCAAAGATAGTACACGAGTGACCATCATAGCATTTGTAATAGCAAGTTTTAAGGGAAAAGCTCCATTGTTTTCATTATGCACAGTCCTCTTGGAATACTGCTTACACCCTGGTCCCCAGATGTGTGGGGGTCCACAACAAGCAATTCTGTGACACCAGCTAGGTGTCCTGTGATTTACTTCCAAAGGTTAAGGGCTCAGTCCCACAAGACTTCTGCGGCAGGCAGCCTTTGATGCACCAAGAACAAGAGCAAGACAGCCCCAGCCCTCAGAGCAGGCAGTCTGCGGAAGGCAGGGAGAGTCCAATGCATTGGCAGTAATCGTGCTGGAGGCTCGTGGGAGACGTGAGGTGGTCACATGAAGGAAGAAAAATTGGACCAGGGAAGTTGAGGCTAGAGGTGAGTCTAGAAGGATGCACAGGAGACAGGGAGCATAGGCCCAGAGGTGGGGCTGGGCTGGGTGATGCGCAGCTCAGTGTGTTGGGGGCTGCAGAAGGCCAGGGTAGGGTGAGGGCAGTGGTACGGGATGAAATTAAAGGTGTAGCAAGAGGCTAGGCTGTGCAGGCTCTGGCTGCCAAGCAGGCTGGGGCATACTTGTGTGACAGAAACCCAGCTTAGAGTAGTTTACGCAACAATGCAGATACATTGGCTCCATAACATAAAGGGGTGCTGCGGGAGGAGGCTCAGGCCTCCCCTGCCAGGCCTCTCTCCTTGCCAACACCTGCTGGTCTGGTTCCGGTTTCATTCTCCGTCTTGCAGGTAGGCATCCTCAGGGGAGAACGTGACCCCAGCGGGTCAGCTCCATTCCTTCAGGACCAGGACCCAGCCCACAGGTTCAGAAGCCCAGAGGAGGCCGACTCCCACTGCCACCCTGGGCAACTAGAAGGGATGGAAGAGTGCTGGTGAAAGCTGAAGCTAGCTGCTAATGTAACCAGGCCAAGGCATTTGAGCTTTATCAGAAAGGTCTTGGAATTTGGGCAGGCTTGGAATATACACAGAAAAGCTGCTGGTGGCAGGGAAGCTGTGGCACTAAATGAGAGAGTAGGTAGGCAGGGTGCATGGAGGACCAGCAAACACCAGAACTATAGAATGTGGAATCGGGCTCTGAGCAACTGCTTGTGAGATTTTTACTCCCCTTTCTGGCATCATCGTTATTCACCTAATTTTTCATATGAAGAATTTCCACCAAATAGCTACACCACTGAAGGCAGAGGGACATAAAATAGGAATGCCACCAAGCCTGGCACGTGCACGCCAATGAGGCACGGCAGCTGCGGGCTGCAGAGAAACCATAACACGGGCCTCGAGGTTAACTGTCACCCTTCTGCATTGGGGGTGAGGGGCGGCTACAGCTTCAGCTTCCACCGGGGCCCAGCCTTCCCAGCTGCCCCACCCCAGCTCCAACTCACTGTGGAAGAACCTGGAATGTGGTGTGATTCTAAAGTTGGGCACTGGAGAAAAGTTCATTAAAACATGACATCAAGCCCTGTCAGATGGGAAAACTAGAGAAGATAAAATATGTGCCCTCTAGGCAAGGCTCCAATGTTGCTAGTAATCCAGCTAGAGGGCTGGCTTTAGCTCTGAGGAATGTGAACTAAAATCAGCTCAATAAAAATGCCAGAAGTTCCCAGAGCCAAGGACAGGTGCTGGCATGAAGACTCCATTGCCCACCCATCAGAGAGACACTGAGTCAGTGAGAGCGCCTTGTGTTTCACACTATGTTGGGGCGACCCAGTGAGGACATCAACAATAAGGCAGAGAGTGGTGAGTGTGATGAAGACACCAGAACTGGGTCACAAGTTAAAATGTGACAACAGGGAAGAGATTGGTGGGTATATGGCTTTTTGATAGTTGACATTTGAATAAGAAGTCTGAATGACCAGGGATCCAGAATTGGCCGTGAGATTTGAGGAAGGAGCTCCAAGAGCACGTGCAGCAGTCCTGAGGCAGGGAAGCCTTGGCCTTGGGGGAGGAGGAGCCAGTGCCGTGGAAGCAGGCACAGGGAGAATGAGGGGAAGGGACAGCGGCAGGTCTGCAGGGCCCTGGGCTGTAGCAGCTAAGCCAGGGAGACATGCGGTGAGCATGCTTCTGTGTGAAAAGAGCCAGAAAGGAGAAAGACAGGAAATCGAGAGAGATGCGAGTGTCACAGTCCAGTCAGTAACTCCTGGAGTGACTGTTGGAGTATTGGTGGGAGACAGCAGTGGAGAACAGGCTGGGTGGGGAGCTCGCGGGGCTACCACAATGGCCTTGAGTGCCTGGCAAGGACTTGGGATTTTTCATAAGGGTTTTGGATGGGCCAGACCAAGGAGTCCTCAGGAAGTGCATGTTGGTATCAACATAAGGGAGACTGGTAAGCAGGAGGGCCTGTGTCCCCGGCAGCAAGATGCTCTGAACTTCCTGGGTCACAGTAAGGGTCAGCTGCATCTGCCTCCCCTTGACCATTAAGACCACCTGCCAAAACAAAGAGGAACTGCCCTGTCCTGTAGTCCAGGGGGTTGGTTTGCTCTTGGCTCCTGGGCTATTCTCCCTTCTTCATTGATTACATTTGGGAGACATACCTTTCCCCGTGGAGAGCAGCCTAGCAGTCTTGGAGGGAGGCAGCCCCTGGGACTGCATCCTGAGGGCATGTTGGGAGGATAAATTAAACAACTGGGGTTTATTTACGGTGGCAGCAGTGCCATGTGACTGAGGAGTCTTACCACTCAGTCTTTCTAGACTGGTTCTCCTGCTTTCCTCTCATCTCTGCAAAAAAACCTTCTTAAGCCAAGTGGGGATGGTTCCTGTTGCCTGCCTGACACATAACTGAACCCCTCACCCAGTCGTGGGCATCCACAGACCTTTACCAATGGGCTGGCACATGCATTCTGAGGGCTGGGCAGGACCCCCGGGCTGGCTCACGGAAGCTCCAGCCTTCTCACTGCCTGGGAGGTTGGCATGAGCTCCAGAAGCAGGACCTGCAACTGGGTGAACAAGCCTCCCACCAGCAGGTGTCATCTGTTCATGTCTAGATGCCTGCTCCACACTGGGTTTATGGAGGTAAACCAGGCAGGCAGAGCATCCCTGCCTGCACAGATGGAGGCCACCCCACCCATTCAGTGCCCACAGTCCATTCACTCTGCCTTGTAAGAGCATCTTCAGTTTGCTCGGACAAAGCCCCTCCTTACTCTCAGCAACGTGGATCGAGCACAGCTGCCCTACCCAGGGCTCAGAGGTGAGCCTGATGTGCTAATGTCAATTGGACCATCCCATCCCACTTCTGCAAGTATCCAAATTGGAGCTGTAAGCCATGAGGATGTTTGCCGAGGTTGGGAAGCCACTAAATGAGACCTGCCCTGTTCTTCCCTACACCGGGCATGGACGTGTGAGGTTGGAAGCAGTGCAGCTACTTTGCTACCAAGAAGAAAAGGGGCCGGATTTTCTAGGCAACCATCTTGTAGGCCACAAGCTTGTGGCCAGCTCAATGAAAATACAGCAGACACTGAAATATGGATGCTGGGTGACGAACTGGAACCATCAGGTCAGCCTCTCTTGAAGTCCCCTCTCTAGCCAAACCCTTCCTTGTTTAAGCCAGTTTGAGTTGGATTTTGCATCACAACCAAAAGGGTCCTGAAGAGAGACAGGGAATTAAAATAGTGTGGCAAGTATTATGCCCCAGGAAGTGCAGGGAGATGGGGGACTGGGAGCTGGAGATGGCAACAGCATAGCCGAGACCTAACAGATGGGCAGGTGCAGCAGGCAGAGGCCGGGCACGAGAAAAGAGGTACAAGCGAGGGGGCAAGTGTGAAGGCTCAGAGGGATCAGGATTGCACTCAGGAACTGGAAGGAATGCTGCCCCACTGAAAAGAGGGGAAGGGAAAGGCCATGAGATGCGCGGGGTTCTCATCACCTGACCTCATGAATGCTGTGTGCTTAGATCCAAGTCCTTGTCCACAGAGTCACCAGGGTCTTTAGGCAGGGATGCGCCAGGCTGACTCACATTGTGGGAAGGTCTCAGGCGGAAAAGATGGAGCTGGTGGGCAGCTTAGAGCCAGGAGCAGTGAGGAGCTGGTGCAGAGGGGAGGATGGGGAGGGACCTGGCCCAGGGCACCAGTGGTAGGGCTAAGGGCCACCTGGCAGGTGGGGCCGCACAGGTGTGATGAGAGGTTTGATGCCAGAGGCCAGGGAGAAGAAGGCATCTAGGCCGACTCCCCAGCTCCCGGCTGGGGCAGCTGATGATGGGCAGGGCTGCCAGTCACTGAGCCAGGGTAGAAGGGCCCAGTGAGGAGAGCACACCATCAGCCCAGCCTGCCGGCCTCATGCCCATTCAGGCCAGTTGCATCATGGTCCAAAGGAGAGTCCAGATTGTGGGGAGATCAGGCTGGCCAGTGTTGGTGGGGCAAGTAACCAAAGGCAGAGATTGACGGTGAGGCCACCATGAGCAAGGACAGTGAGCAACCCTGGGCCAGAACTGTGCAGGAGCTCTAGTACCTTCACCTGCTGGGACCCAACCCAAGGGGTCCCACTTATCAGTGCGCTCCAGGAAAGAAGGAAACAGCCATGATGTGAAACCCCCACAGAGAGGTACACAACACAGACGGAAGATGTGCAGCAACTGCTCAGTGAGTTTTATTTGAAACCTGCTAATAAGTGAAAATAAAGCACAGAGGAGGTGATTCAGGTGAAACGTGAAACTGATGTCTCTCTTCCAACTGGGCCCGCGGCCACACACCAGCTAGTGCTGCCTGGATCGCAAGGACTTTCTGTTCGATTTGGAGATTCCAGCCTCCCTCTCCTTCTCAGGGTCGAAGACTTCTATAAGCAGAAAAGGCCAGGAAGACACCAAATGGCAGGGCTCATTGCACTCTTGATAAGAGCTCATGTTCACAGCTACATCTGATGTTCCCAGGATCCTGTC